GGGCGGGGTACACCCTGGACAGGTCGCAAGTCCATCACAGGGCAGTTAAAAGCCAAAATTAGCAAAATATCTCAATTTTAGCTAACACCGACTGCAAGTTTAAACTTTAACAAAGAAGTAGTTTAAAGTTTAGCAAAATATTAGCTAAAAGCTTGACCTGAAATAAGCATGCTGAAGATTCCTAAGAGCAGAAAGGGTTTTAAAGATTTAAAGAGATATTAATGTGCTTCTATTAGAAAAAATATTGTAAATAAAGTAAAATATTTTAAAGAATATAAAAGCTAGAAAAACTGAAGGTCATACTTATAATGTCCCAAATTAGTTATTTTAATACTTAGCTGAAAGTGTGCTGAAAAGTCAAACAAACACAGAAGAAACTATAGACATGAAAATGATAGCATTAGRGCTAACACAGCATTTACACCATTGTTCAAGTTAAAAGTTTTAACCACAGTTTTGCCTTTTGTTATTACATTTTGTTGCTGATCTCTGTCCATCTTGTGCTTGTTTGTTGTTTTTCCAGGATTTACTCCAAGTTCTCACCAAAGAAGATGCAGGAGCTGTCAGAAGCAGGACTCATGAACTTCCTGCTGCTGTTTCTGGTCATGGCCAGGCAGGTGGAGCTGGAGGATGTGGCGAACAGAGCCTGTGAGCTGCTTGGCTCTCTGCCCTCTAATTGCCCCCCTGCACATCGCACGCTGGTCTGGAGAGGGCAGCTGTCACTGCTGCTGCTTTTCCAAGTACGTGTTCTCACCACACCGTGCAAATACAGAAAGTACTTTTATACTCCATCGGTTTGAGAATGTTCTGATTTAAACTGTGACTATAAACTACAGGAGAGAGGTCTGGACGTTGGTGCCATGGCCAGTTGGTTGGCCTCCTCCTTCACASAGACGGCCAAGGAGTTCCTCACTCTCAAACAAACCCCAGACGCCCCTCGCAGACAGGCCCTCTGGGGGCCGCTCGGCTCCTACCTGGACGGTGTAGCCGAGGTGTTTGAGACCAGCGCCAGCCTCAGCCTGTCGGAGGAGAAGCTGCTGAATGAGGGCTTTGACTGGCTGCTGCCTGCGTGTCAGTCGGAGCTGGACTCTGTGCTGGGCTTTCTGCAGACCGTCCTGGCACAGCTCAGGTCAGACAGCTCCCCATCACCATCACCTTTTCTCTGCATCTCTCATGCTTTCACCGTTATCTGGTGGCAGCAACACTTTTAGACAGATGTTTCTTGGCAAAGCTTTTACAAAGTTGCTGCAGCCGAGGAGATTGATGTGTTTTGTTCTTCCCGAGCCGTCCTAGAGTCCACTCACTTCTCACACTGACAATAGGAGGATTGTGCAGTCAGCAGGAATGAGTGTCTGTAAAGAATCGGTTTTGTGCCGTGGCCCCCGTCGGTCTCAAGAGGACCGCTGACCCTTGTGTCACCTTCCCCAGGTGCTCCCAGACCCTAGAATAAAGTTACTGGCACAGGGGACTCTCTCTGGGCCCCTYTTGTCATTCTGAGCAGCGCCGTTGGTGTGTGAGAGAGACCGTGGTCAGCAGAGCATCAGGATGGGTTCAGCTGTGGGACAGGGGTGTTTGTTACACGAGCGAACCCCAGCTGAAGATTAGAGGGAGGCGGCTGAAAGAGCGTCTGTTGATGTGGGGAAGCAGAGACGAGAACAGAGACCACTGCAGACAAAAATCAGGTGGGAGCTGAAGGTTGCACAGTGACAAAATGATGAGGATCTTTTTCTGTCATCTCATTTTGTCTGTGAAATCATTTATTTATGTTTAGTGTTTACAACAACCCTGGACCACGTCAATTACTTTCATGGAGCTTTTTTAACTAAAATGAAAATTTGCTGTTTATGTACACATGAAGCAGCATTAAAAGGACAAATTGTAGTAAGATTGTAGCATATTGTGTACTTACCCTGTACTTACCTGGTAAAAACAGGATAACAAGTTACTTTATAGTCCAGCTGGGCCCTTGTGAGTATCAGCTATGTAGCTATGTAGTAAAAGGTATGCCCCATGTTGTATTAAGTATTGCTTCTGGACAAACTGTACATTTGGTCCAATGTGAAGGAAGACAAAGTTCCCCAGAGGTCTGTGTTCTGGTCTGGAACATGCCCATTTAGCCAAAAAATAAAATAAAACAACCCACACTATCTCTCCAGTTCATCTCACCAAATTCAACATAATTCCTAAGCCTGGAAATTCTTAGTATCTCTTTGTGATTACAGCTTTTTTTTTTAATGTGGCGCAATTAACGGGTAATTATGTAGCCTGGCAAATTGAGTCAGTTCATCATTACGACTATTAAGAGCCATGTGGAATGTGCACACATTAAGGGAATTATTCTGCCAACGGTCAAGGCAGTGATGGTCCCAATGTTCACTCTTGATTGCCATCGTCTTGGTGTCGAGGCAAATCTCCAGGTGCAGGAATGATGCCTGGCTTTGATTTCAGCTCATGACCCTCTGCTTTGATAGAGGGGAAGGTTGTAAGTTGATGAGATCAGCTGACGCTGGCATGTCCTCCCTTTTTTTCCAACACACAATTATTCCCACAAAATACCTAGCCTTGTTCTGAAATGTTTTTCTTTTTTTGTACCTTTTTGATCTGATCTTTGTTGCCGTAAACCATTGTTGTGATAGTAAATGCAGATAGATTTGATAGAAAAATCTAAAAAAATGAAAAGAGATTGCAGCAAATATAACTTGTGTCCTTGGGTACATTTGTCTTTGCGGTATCCAGCATGTGCACTATGTTTGTGTGTCTGTGGAAATACTGTACATAAACAGGCACAATGAGGAGGATTGAGTAGGTTCTCTGACGATGTCGTGTACAATGAGGACTGATGGGTGTGAAAGGCRCATTCTGCAGGAGTAACAAGGCTAATGAATTCAGACTCTAATCGATTGTCTCAGCTCTCTGGATTAGATGCAACCTTGCTGGAAGGGAAGACGTGTGTGTGTGCGTGTGTGTGTACCTTTAGTAAAACACCAGAGTGGATGGTTGTGAAAGGAAGGGGGGCTGCTAGTTCGTTTTTTCCTCTCCTTCCGCAGCACACCTTAACCCCRGCTTTTTCACACCCCCATCCCAGAAATGAGAGGGACAGAGGGATCATCTCCAGTCCAAATGAGATTACAGCTTCTTCGGCAGCTTATCAGGGCTAATGCCAGCCTCTGTGGGGCTGCTGTAGCAGCTGATGCCAGGGCAAGAGATGAGCCAGAAGAGCCAAAGTATATTCTGTGTTCAGGGGATCAGCATTAGGCTCCACTCTCTGCCTGTGATATCCTCCTTTCCCTCACCTACCTCCACCCCCTCCCTCACCCCGCGCCGCAGCGCATCGCCACACTCTGTAATCCCCCATGAGAGAAGAGAGAAAACACATGAAGGAGCAGTGAAAGAGAAACACAGGAGCAAAGGGATTTGAAGAAGAGGAGGGTGGAGTTGGTTGCAGGGGCCCGGTGCTTGTAGACAAGAGAAAGCGCTGCTGTGGATAGATTTGTTGATCTGTTTTTTTTCTTCTTCTGCCTTTTGTGAATGTGTGTCTGTGTCCTTCCAGACGGGTCCATCAGCGCTGTGTCCAGTCAGTGCCCACTCCGGCCTGGGCTCCCGCRACAGCCAGTGTGATTAAAGAGCGCCACCTAGCGGTGGCTGCTGCTCTGTGGATGCACTTCTTCCCCTTCCTSCAAAGCCTACTCCGCTCGCCGACCCCTCCAGCACAGCTGGCAGATGCTGCTGCAGGTCAGTGCCCCCACTGGGAGGAAAACATGATGGCGGGGGGGCACAGATGGGAGAAAGGAACAAAAAGTCTGAGCAACATTTTAACCAGAATTTTGTTTTTWGGCCTAAAATCCAATGAATCATTTTATTTTCAATGAAGGATTCTTAACCAGTTTCACAGCATCAACGTTCAGATAAGCTCACATTGCCGATGATGTGGATAATTCAAACAGGGACCTAATTTAATTTCACTTTTAGGTTTCACCTTCCTGGCCTTTGATCTACCCAGCTCTGCCCCCAAGGACCTGCAGCCCCACCCAGTTCAGTCCATCATGCAGTCGTTTGGCTGGGATGACATCGTTCACACGCTGCTTGTAACTCGCTACCTTCCTGATGTGCTCCAGAACAGGTCAGACTGAAAACAGCATTAATCTGCACAGTCTAATGAGAAATTAAAGACTAAAAGCTGGTATTGATTTATTTTTTGTATATATAATATGAACTTATAAAAAGTTGTAGTTTTGATTCATGTGAGAAATTTAGTTAATTTCATCCAGAARAAATAATTTGGTAAAGGTAAATGTAATTTATGCATTTATATAAACAAGTTCAGCTTAGACCCTTTTTTCAGAACATAAAATGTGATTACTTCAGCACAAGGTGTGTTAGATGTGTTTAAGGAAAAAGTATTGATTGTTTTCTGTTATTTAGTGTCCTGATCTGCCCTCGCCGGTTACACGGTGTGTTTATCATGAATGTGCCGTCAACACATTAGGCTCAACGAATCCCTGTTCTCTCTCAGTGAGCTGGCCTCTGCTCTGGGCAGTGGTTCTGTGTCCGGGTCGGCTCAGGGCCTCTCAGTGCGAGCCTGGATCAGGTGTGTTCTACAGCAGCACCTTCACAAGAACCAGGACGGGACTGACAGCTGTACAAGTATGAACACCACCAGGTTTTGTTTGTTCTCCGAATTATTTTCTCCTTTTCATGGATCTGATCTGTTTAACTGAAGAATARGATTGATTCTGGATTAAAGAGTCACATTTTCTWTAAATAATCAGATTGTTTTGGTGGTTTTCTTTTCTCCAGGTAAGACTGTGAGGGAGCAGCTGTGTGAACTGACCCGGCTCGTGCTCAGGCTTCCTGAGGTCGACAGTCTTCTGCAAAGAGCCCGACTTCATTCCACAAACCCCCGGCTGGACCCCACCGGAGCCCTRAACACGTTTGTCAAGGTATCACTGACACACATTTTCCTAACAGTACCACTTTACAATAAGACTTCCCTTATAGATAGCTTATATAGGTTATMATTTTATCTGTGAGCACTTTATAAATCATTAATAAGTGTTTATTATYCATTAATTAAGGACAAGAAAGTGAGCCAAATCTGTTCAAAAGGTGCTGTATTAAACCTTTTTAGACTAGGTTTCTATCTTATAAGCATAATGTATTGGAAACACATATTTTACATATAATGTACTGTATTACTGCATTATACATAGCCACAATTATCAAAGGGAGCCTTATTGTAAAGTGTAAAACAGTAACACTATTTATAAAGCTCCCTTGTGAAATTTATACACGTTTGTTAGTCATTAATAAATAGTGTACCTATTGTCTTACACTTTACAATAAGGCTCCTTTTTGATTGGCTCACTATTTGGCAAGAAACCAGACAGTTTTGTCTCTTTCTTGTCCTTAAATAATGCATAATAAACACTAATGACTTAAAGTATTTACAGATGAATTAATAACCTATTTATAAGTAAGTAAGTAAGTAAAGTTTTATTTATAAAGCACCTTTCACAGAAATACATTCAAAGGTGTTGTACAATCATTAACAATGTAAAATGGTGGAAAGATAAAATAAAACATAAGCAAAGTAATGAAACATCAAATCAAGATTAAATTCTAAAATTGTAACTCAGACACATGGTCAATGCCGAGCAAAAATATTCAAATAATACACAAAACATGGAGAATGGGGGAGAGAAAAATATGCCTGATGTTCAATAATAGAAAAACACATAGTTGGCAAACATTCACTATGGAGGTAGGCTGGCATTAATGGTGAATGGTTAGCTGAACACGTGAGTGAAAAAGTGAGTTTTTAGGTATTTCTTGAAGGAGACAATGTTARCAAGAGAGCGCAAATTAAAAGGGAGTTCATTCCAGAGCCTGGGGGCCGCAGAGGAGAAGGCACGGTCACCATGGGTCTTAAAGCGAGTGAGGGGAACCATAAGGAGATGTTGATCCTGTGAGCGGCGATCACTTCCGGGGTTGTATAACCCATCCAAAAGGGGAGCCTTATTGTAAAGTGGTACCAATTTTAATGAAAATAAATCCAGTTTTAAATTTTMTTAGTGTGTGTCTCTTTAAAGGCTCTTTTTTCAGTGRGTTTAAGATGCATATTAAAATATAAAACACACTAAGGTAGGTAACACCCTGCCCTCTACAGCCGCTACATGTGTTGTGATGTTTTACCAAATGTAAATCTGTGTGTTGTTGCACGGCTTCAGGCTGTAGGCAGCGTGTACAGTGGACTGCAGCTCCTGTCAGAGCGATCAGCCATGGTGACCACGGCCCTCGGCTACATTGGTGACATCTTGAATTACATCAGACCTTACATGGTCAACAAAAACCAGGAAGGAATCCAGTTGGCGTACTGGTCTGTGGGTACGTGTGTGTGTGTGTGTGGGCACATCGTTTCATACAGCAGCTTTCTGTGTGAGAAGCTAAACTCTTGTGTTTTCTGTGTGATCCAGGCTGCATAGTTAAACACTGGAGCCCCCTGCTGGCCACTTCCAAAGCACAATCTCTGCTGTTTCAGATTGTAGACAGGGTTCTTCTCCCCCACCGCCTCCCACAGCAGGACAAAGCTCTGAGGGACAGCCTACCCCTCTACCTGCAGGTTAGCAGTGATGTGCACTGAACTGTACACAAACACTTTCACAGTTCAAACTCATCAGTTATGATAATGATTTGTTTTCTTCCAGGGTCTGTCAGTGGCCTCGAGCGTGTCTCAGTCACAGGGTGCCAACCTGAAGCAGCAGCTCCGCTCTGTCATCCACAGATATCTGGATCATTTTCTGCCCACCTCACCTTTCGTGGGTGCCGTCGCCAACCACCCGGTTCTTCTCGGTGCCTGRGAGGACGCGCCGACTCCGCGAGGAGCCGCGCTGAGGAGGACCGTACTGGAGGTGCTTTGGTAGGTCTCTACAGTCAAGATGTGTTTCATGAACTCATTATTTGAAGTTTAAATGGATCAGTTTCAGTCACAGCTTCAAGAGCTTCTTAAACTGTGATTCGGTCTGAAGGTGGGATCTTTTATTATTTTACAGTGAGAACTTCCTCCAGTTCAAAGGCAACAGCCCTCCTCCTCGACTCGCACCAGTCCTGATGTTCTTGTTGGAACTCCTGAGAAGAAACAGAGACACAGATGTTTCTCTCCTCACCCTGCCTCTGCCCTCCCTCCTGCACTGTTTGATGCTGGTCAGTGATGCACAAGGTATGATAAACTGCCTGTTCTCATGTTTGCACCACACTGACTGTGTCTTATCTCAGGCAGAAATGTACAACCTTGCCGCTTCAATTCCAGTGAAGTTGGGACGTTGTGTGAAACCTAAATGAAAACAGAATATGATGATCTGCAAATCCTTTCAACCTATATTCACATGAATACACTACAATATATTTAAAGTTCAAATGAATCAACTTTATTGTTTTTTTTTTTGTTGTTGTTGCATTCACTCATTTTGACTTTGATGCTTCAACATGTTCCAGAAAAGCTAGGACAGGTTCATGTTCACCCCTGTGTTCCATCAGCTTTCCTCTAACAACACATCATAACTGTTTGGAAACTGGGGATTAATATACCGCTGTATCAAAATATGGTGAGGGTACATAAAAGTCATGATGATACGAGTCATGTGAGGGGAAGTGCCAAATTTCCACAGGGCTGCTATGAAAACTGGGACAAACATTTTGGGCTCTTTCAGAAAATGCTTCAGGACCAACTAGCCACAGGTTTCTTTTGGATTTAGTTTCAGTGATTTTTGTTAAATTTCATTTTATTTTTAATTTAATTACATTTTTTTCAATACCTGCGAGAGCTCCTCGCTGCAAATAACCATGGTAAGAGTCAGATTATTTTGAAACTTAAAGCCTTTTAAAAGACGTAGACTCTAATGTCGAGCTATGTGCATATAAATTCATTTCTCCATTAATTGTTAATTCATAAACGTGCCACAGGCACCCTCCTCCTCCCGGTGATACCATATACTGTGGTATTTTCTAGTACCTGCAATCTTTTACTATGAAGCCACGCTGTTGTAACACTTGCAGAATGTTGCTTGGCATTGGATGTCACTGGAGCACTAATACACCCTCATACCATCAGAGASGCTGGCTTTTGAGCTTTGCACTGATAACAATCCGAACAGTCCTTTTCCTCTTTGTCCTGGASGACACAACATCCARGAGTTTCTGGGTGTTGATATTTGTTGTTTTTTCTTTGCATGATAGAGCTTTAACTTGTACTTGTACATCAAAAAGAAAAAATAAGTAGGTCCTCTGGACGGGTTCTTCTTTAGTGAAACGTTTCGTCTCTCCTCCAAGAGACTTCTTCAGTCTGATGAGTTTCAGTTGAAACTCAGCCTTATAAGCKCTGCCTCCGCCTGGACAAACAGGTTAGTCACATGCAAGAGAGGGCCATTGTCAAACAATAGGCTTGATTTGCTCTATTGTTCATAGAGGGTCATGTGCCCATCACCTGACCCGTGTCGTGTTATGTGAATGTAGTGAATGCAGGCGGGGGTTTTTAACATCTCCTTGTTTTTGTCCCTGTCTCCCTCTTTGTGTTTGGTATCATTGGGGCCCTGATTCACACATTTTGCTCACAGGGGGCGGAGTCATACTTGCAATGACAGCATTGTAGGCAGAAGACAACTGGACACGAAGGCCTCCACCTTTGGTTTTTCTTCACAAAGATGGCTTCCTTTACTCCTCTCTCTCTTGGTTTGAGAGAGGATTAAAGGAAGATATGATATGATATATGATATTTTTATCTGTATGAARATTAAATATCTTGTCTTTGTGTTGTACTTTGTTGAATATAGGTTGAAAAGGATTTGCAAATCATCYTATTCATCTCATCATTCATATTTATTCTGTTTWTWTGTTTTACARGTCTCAGATTGATTGGAATTGGGTCACAAGTAACTAATTTTCCCTGAGTTCTGACTGAAAGCTGTAAATGAGTCACCTTTTTCTCTTATTAGCAAACGTTTTTTTGCAACCATGTCTTGCTTCCTGTTTATTCTGCTGTGTTTACTTAGTGAGGAAGACGAGCACAGATGCCCTGCAGCTCGTGGTGGAGCGATGTGCTGCTGCCTCTACGGAGGGGCCCTGTGAGCAGATGATCGGTGTCTTACGGTAAGTGACTGTGATCTGCAGCGATAAATATCTGCACCTGCGTGTGGGGAGAGGCCACTTCACCCCCAAATCCCGTGGAACACTTTAAGGAGTTTCCTTCTATCGTCATGTCGATGCTCTTAGARGTTTCGTGGAGAAGAACGAGTGCGTCTACGACAGGCAGGTCTACGGTGTCCTGGAGACGGTGGCCGTRCTGGATCCCAGCGTGGTTCAGGCTCTCGTTCCCAGCCTGTCTGTCYGTCTGAGAAATGCTGAACACAAACGAGGAATGGGCAAGAACACTGCCTTGAGGTGAGCGAGAACATGAATCACTGCTTTAAACTATTTTTAGGTTGTCTAGACAATAAGTAGGTGTCAGGAATAAAACTGGAACTCTACTTCAGCTGAATTTTACTGAATATGACACATCTTTGTGCTACAGGAGTGCATACATGAAGCTGCTGAGTCTTCTTGGAGAATGTGGGCAGGCTGAGATCATCCGCCTGGAGAACAACTGAAAAGTCTTCTGGAAAGAACTTCAAACCTTTTTATTTCATAAATCTGACAGACTTGATTTGGTTCCCAAAACAGCAAAAACTAAAATCTGAGTTTGTAGTTGATGTGAAGGCATGTTCTGGTCCTTCTGAGCTGGGGTTCTGTTAGGAACAATTAATATCTTAGCTGTAGCAGAAAGCTCTTCGAAAGTCATCAGTTTGAAGAAAAAGTTCTGGTCCAGCAGGAGTCACGAGCTAACTACTAGTTCAAACACAGCTAAAGCCAAAGTAGACTGCTTCCATTTTAAAACCATGTGATTTAGACTTTTTCACCCCAAGTCCTGAAGCGAGAACCCTCTAATGAACCCAGGCTTCTGGTACAGATGTGTGCTGCTGCTAATTCTACTAGTTGGTGTTTTTATTTATTTTTAAATAAAAAGTATTCTGGAGGGTGGTGGGTGTGGTAATCAAAAGCACATCTCAATAGTAACTTGTGCCAATGCCAGTCTTTTACATTTTCTCAACGTTTTAAAAAAATAATAATTTTGACGCTCATTAATTCTTCAGATTTGTTCATTTTAACTAGAATTTGAACATTTTAAATCTGGAGGAACTTCAGAGGTGAGTTCTATAATATTTCTGCTAAAAGAACAAGAAAGGGGTCTCTGCAGTCACTYAGTAGGAMTTTCTGATTTTGTGAGCTTRGTTTACCCAAGATGTGATTGGATGGACTGACAGTGGGGTTTAAAGAAGCTGTGGGCAGCTTGGTCGAATAGACCAGGAAGCACATGTACCTTTTTWAATATAGAGATTAATTTTAGTCATAACTTGAGACAGGAAGGTGCTAGCTGGATGAAATTTGAACACTGTATATGTGGTGGGATGTATAAAAATTTGGCTTGGTCAAAACATCCCTAAGCAGCCTGTAAAAAGATCASTAAAAGTCAATATGAATATAAATATTAGTCATAACTTGAAACAGGAAGGTTCTTGTTGCATGAAATTTCAAGTCAATAAATTATGGTTACATGTTCACACTAGTTTTTATTTATGTCATTGTTCTGTTATAAACTCTACATAGACAGTCAATAAATCATTATTTTACTATTATCATGACTTCCTCTTTTAAGTTGCCCCACAAGACAAYTCAATTCGACCAATCACGGTTAGGGCCAACTCCGCCCACAGAATATGCACTGCAGAGACCCCTACTTGGAAAAAACCTAGAGTAAAGATTTAAATAATAGTTTAGAATAAATGATTTGGTGCTATGAAATGTTGAAGTTTACAGTTAGTTTATTACAGCAACAAACCCCTGACACTGAGTCTGCTCGGACCAGTTGGGTGAGCTAATAATTAGTCCAGGGTTATTCAACTGGCGTCCTGTGGCCCGGAGGACTTTCATCCAGCCAACCAATGATTATGTTTTTTACTTAATTAAATATAAAACTACATTTTAAATCAGTGGTAAATTATGAACTAATGCAACAACAAAAACATTTACACGGTAAAACGTGCTTGTTGTCTTACATAATACAGTTTCTTCTACCCTGAGCTGTTGCTTTCTGTAACTGTGGCCTCCTGAGAAATTTATTTGAAAAGACTTGGTTTAGTCTGAGTTGAGTCAATTCTTCTAAAAAAAATAGGAAAAAACATTACACTGATTTTTTTTTTTTTGTGTTTTTGGCAGAGATGTTAGGATTTTGATGCTGGAAGTGCTACAGCTAGCTGCTACTGAAAATAACCATGTAATGCATAGATGAAGGTGATGTAGTGTTTTCATGAACTGCTGCAAAAAGCTAAATGTTTGAGTTTGAAGCTGAAGGCTGAACTTACAGTTAGCTCATCAGTCCCGTCTAATCTAAACTATTTCTTAAAAGCGAGATTGTTTAAAGAACTGTTTACTGCAGGTGAGATACTCATTCTTTATTTTTACTACTAAACCCTACTTTAAACAGAAATTTTCTCTGAAGACCTGTAAGAGCTGCAATGTGCCAAAATATCCCAGAACTGAAAGCTGTCTTAAGAATCATCAGTTACCAAATCAAGTTATTGTACAAACCTTTAAATGTGTTGTAAATATTGTAGTTTTACATTTAGTGATGTATTAAATGTAAAAAATAAATTTGCTCTTTTGCCTGCTTTTATCTTTCCGTTTCTGTTCTACAGTGGAGGAAATGTGAGCATCAAAGAGCTATTTGCTCTTTTCAGGATCTGCCTCTGCTCAGTTAGAGCTCTGAAATACAGATTTGATCAGAGTCGTGGCTCAGACCAAATAATTTAACACACGCACYCACACACACACAAAGAAGGGCAGATAATGTTTGTTCCAGTTCTCCCTTTCACTTCGAAGTTGCAGTAATCTTGTGCAATCCGTCTTTGGCTCGCACCTAATCACATGAAGTCTCCCACAATCACCGCCTCCCATTTTCTGTCATTGCCGTCATTTTCATCTCATCTGACTGCGAAGCATCTCCTTTATCCCGCCGTGCATTCCTTCTGTCCGGCAGCATCAGTGGGAGAGGACGCGCAGTCTGCTCACAATAAAAAAATAAAAAAAAGCTTTCATATGTTCAGGCAATTATCTGAGGTGTGAAACAGAAATACATCACATTTTTTATTTAATAATATAGGAAATTTATTCTGCATCTTGCCCCATATATCCCCGTAGGTGTGTTTTGGGTGCACCTGGGAAGTGAAGGCGTTTTTTGTTGTCTTCATCTCATCAAAGCTTGCTTTTTTTTAAGTCAATGCAGAATCATAAATGTCCACACTTTGGAGAATATTCCACAAATATGTGCTGAACTGTAATGTTCCGACATTCACTTGAACATAAACAATCTTAGGTCCTGAGCGTAAAAGAAGCAAAATAAATAAAACTCACAAACAGGTTGATAGCAGTCATACTTGGTTACTGCTTTTCAAATGAGTTCAACAATTATGTTAAACTTGAAAAAATAAAAAGCTGGTGAGTTTGAGCAAAAACTAGACTGTCAAATTTATGTCAAAACGTGGCTTTCAGGCTAAAGAAGTGACCATAGGAGTTAAAAAGATGTATAGTTTATTGTTTTTTAAGAGAAAAGCTCTATCAGCCCTATGATGGGTTATAAAAACCTTTGAATGCATGTGGCTAGTTGGACAGATTAGCACTATTTGTTCACTTATTTCCTAACAACATGCTGCCTTTCCTCTGGAGGAATCGTGCTCACTGACTTTCCTGTGCCCCCACCCCCACCCCCACAAGAAAACAGCAGTTTGTTCACAGGAGCTTCAAGAATTGCATTTCTCTAATCAGAGGAACCCCTGTTCACCCCACAGTGAACAAGCACCCAGACTCCAGTATGTTTATTAAAACCAATGCTTTTTTTTGTCAGGTTTGTTAGCGAGGGCCACCTTCTGGTTGTGCGTTCATGTCGTCGTTTCACTTTACACCGCACCGATCCTGTGATGGGGGACTTGGAGGGTCTGCAGGTTTGGACAGGTGAAGTGGGGGGCGGGGAGGAAACAGGTCGCGATCCCGTTTGAAGCGAAAGGCAGCGTTGGCCCGTAGAACACCTCCTCCTTCCCTCCTGTGCTCAGGTCCAGCACCTGRAGGAGGAACACATCGGGCAGTAAGGCACGGCGCCTGGACGTGTTTCCAGAATAAAATCCCTGTGATTTATCCGACTGAGCGTTCTCGGTGAGTTTGGACCCTAGAAAGCAAGTTTTAAATCTCACTTTATGAGGCGTTATCTTTATGTTGTCGAGCCATAAACAGCATTTAGAGCACAGTGTTTTATTYTGGGTTATTTTTTTCTGAAGTGTTTATGATGCCCTGAAGTGATTTTACTGATGCTTGAGTAGGTCACAACCATTCAGTGCTGCTTCTCAGCTTTCTTCATTTTAATGTTGCAATTTCCTTAGATTCTCTAAATACCTCAGATTATTTCCTAAAAATCCTCAAGTTCCCTTTTTTATTTGGTATCAATCAGTTTTCATTTAGCTGTTTAATTAAACCTTTATTATTTTATCATACATTATTATAAAATTATTTGAAAATAAATTGTCAGGAATCTTTTATTAGTAATACTAATTTCTAAATGTTATTTTTCTGCCTCCAATTCAAATAGATTTTTTGTGCCTACATTTTAAACATAAATAGTGTTTTAAATAATTTGCTTTTTCCTCCATTTTGTTAGAATTATATTATTACAGTGCAGTGTAATATATTTTAAGTTGGTAAGTCAACTCTTTAGACTCTAGATTCTTGGTAACCTTGTAAGTTTTTTTCTAACTATTTATTCAAAACTAGATTTAATAAACTATACAGCTCAGCTTCCTATCATTTGATAATTATCCAGTTTTTAGTTCAAACTCGTGATTTTTTAAAGGTTCTTTTTTAAAGAATCTTCCTCTGCCAGTGAAACAGATGTGAGAAACGTCCACGGAGGAGCTGTTTGGTGATTTGGTTTAGGGACAGGGTCTGACTTGTTCCTTCTCTTTTCTTTTGGCTTTAACAACAGATTTACTCTTTTTATTCCACAAGTCCAAATCTATTATTTTTGTTCACCTACACAGGCTAAGACCAGCCATTAGTCAATCAAGCTTCCTCGTTGTGTTTGGTGGATTCAGTCAAACGGTTTGTTTACGTTGACTGTGGACCCACTCACATACATGTCAACCCCTTCGGATGCTTAACTGTATAATGAGCCTCAAAAATCCATCCATCCATCCATCCATTTTCTTCCGCCTATCCGGGGTCGGGTCGCGGGGGCAGCAGCTTCAGAAGGGAGGCCCAGACCCCCCTCTCCCCAGCCACTTCTTCCAGCTCCTCCGGGGGAACTCCAAGGCGTTCCCAGGCCAGCCGAGAGACATAGTC